ATATATATATATATATATATACACATACTGTACTTTTGTCAGACTATATTGAATTGTGTTCCTTTTTTAATATTTATCTATGAAAGATAGATTTCACCTATGTTCTGGCTTACGTACTAATTTTGTTAAATATTAAAAACTTGGCATTGTGTACTATGGATATTGTTGGCAAAATTCTTTCGATTTTTTTTACTTTCGATAAATGAGTCTGCTTAAACAAAATGCAAACGTAATACTTGTTTCCTTGATCGCTTGACTTTCTACAATTGACTGTTTCTTCTTTCACTCACTATTACTTTTGTTTAGACAAGTGAAGTTATAAATTAATGTTAACATAGTCAGTTCTACTCACCTCTGAATATGTAGGGTTTTCAAATGTTGTGCTTGGCTTCAGTTTTCTTTTAAAGAAACTCCATTTGGACTCCTGCCAAAAAAAACAAAACAAAACAAAAAATTATATATATATATAAAATAAAAAAATGAAATAAAATAAAACACAAATAAATAAAAAAATAAAAAATAAATACAATTAATTAATTAAAATATCAAAAAATGAAAAAATTAAAATAAATAAAATAATAAAAAATAAAATAAACATACTCGCATGATGGAGAAACAACAGGAAATAATGACTGAACTGTGGACAAATGTTCAGATGTTCCCACCTGTGTGGTTGTTTGCTCTGCAGGTCTGCTCTTCACCTCCACTGCCTGTTCATGAGCGTTATACGTAGGGTTTGAGAAGTTATTCTCCACCTGGTCACCGCTGACGTTCACAGTGACCTGTATGAAGCACAGAAACACAAAACTCAACAGAAGACCTGCTCAGGTCGAACATGTTTCATTCACACTGTTAGCAATGTCTAGAAGGTTATGAAATGCTTTCGAGAAGGCAATATACCTGAGTAGCGTGTATTACTGCTGGATCGCTGGATGGGCCGGCTGTAGTCGAGTACAGAGGATTCTCAAATGTGATTGGCTGCCTACCAGAGTCTGCAAAATTCTCATCCTAATAATAAAAACCAGAGAATCCAGATCAGACACAAATCAATGCTTCAACCCACAGCTAGCTAGCTAG